TACAAAAAAAGCGGTTATTCACCAAAGAGATGGAAACATTCCATGAACATATTAAGCACCCTTGAGTTCATAAAAGCATCCAAAGACAACTCCTACACTAATTTATTGTTAATAATTAAATCACTAATTTTATATACAGACTTTTTGTACAAAACGGTTTAGTTGTTAGTTAGATCGATTTCCATTATGATTGTTTTCTTAAAAAACAAATAGTGTTATACAATAGTGTACTTTTGTTTATATAATTTTTTAAGTATGACATTTTATTATTTTAATTTAAAATTATGTATATTTATTAGAAAAGTACTACCTATCTGATTCTTAAGACTGCTAACAACAGTTTTACCTTTTTTTAATATAATAATTACATAATTTGATTACAATGTATCATGGTAGAAATAATGAACACCATTATTGTTTCATTTCCAACTAATTGGTGCTTTTACACCCAAAACCCACTTGATATATTCCAACCAGAACCAAGTTCTTGTACTGTCTTCAAAACTAATCTGCAGCACATATGCCAAAAGGGTTCAGTAATTTGGTGGGGCTTTTCTTAAAAAAAAGATTGGATTTTATTTTTTCTTGATCAATTGCTTCCATTTCATGATTCTGAAAGAAAGAGGTGAAAAGAGGGCTCTTTTTAACAACCTTCATTATTGTTTGATTTTTAACTAATTGGTGCTTTGACAAACAGTGAAAAGAGGGCTCTTTTTAACAGCCTTCATTATTGTTTGATTTTTAACTAATTGGTGCTTTGACAAACGAAACCCGCCTTTTCAACCCGTATCTTGTACTGTCTTCAAAGCAAATCTGCAGCACATATGCCAAAAGGGTTCAATAATTTGGTGGGGCTTTCTTCAAAAAAGAGTGGAATTTTTTTTTTCATCAATAACTTCCAATTCAAGATTCTGAAATAAAGGGGGGAAACTGAAAAGAGGGCTCTTTTTAGGGGTAGAACAAGAGAGATGTTGGTAACGGCAGCCCAGAATTGCCACTGTTCAAATTCAAAATTCAGTCGACATTAAAGGAGGTTTGTAAAGGGAAATCACCGTTTGCCGTCTTTTTCTAACTGCCGTTATGCTTTATTCATTTTCTTGCATTTACTTTTGTTTTTCTTTCCTTTGCTTTTGCTATAGAACTTTGCTGTGTGCGCCTCAAAGGAATAGTTCAAATTTTATTTTTTATTTTTTATTTTTGTTATCAAAACAGTGACATTTGCTTCTTTTTCTTGTCTTTATTTTTTATAATCAAGAATCCTGAGCCTGGTTTCCCGGGTAGGTTTGCATTCAATCATCCAATTTACAACGACAAAGTAATAAAGATCCCTTATTTGTTCCTCTTGCAAAAATTTGTTTTTAGAACCATGAATATCTGAATTACTGTTGAATTCTTCATTCTTGACAGGTCAGTTTAACTTCAATCAGCAGCATTTTTGAAAAAGGGTAAGCTAAGGAGGAAAGAAATGGATCACATATCGATTTCTGATGAGAATTGTGATTTGGGACATCAGTTTTCTCCTTCAAATTTGGATCAAATTGACCAATCACCATCCACAGAGACTTCAAGCCACTCGATCGCGAGTGCCGACTCGTTTTCCTACTGCCGGACTAATTCCGAGGCCTCGGCCACATTTTCAGAGCCAACTGACGATAGCAATAGCTATGCTGACGTGGCATCCCCACACAGCTGGCAAGGGCTCAAGTCCCCGGTTCGTGCAGCGCTGTCCAAATTAGGGATGAGGCAGCATAAGCATGGTTTAGATGATGAGATCATGGATTTAGGTGATTTTTTTTTCTCCTTTTCATTTCCTCTAATTTAACATGTGATAGATATTTTTTGATAAAGATTTCAGCTTTTCTCCATGTCTTTTTATGGTTTTTTGATGTATATGTCATTGGCATTGGGTGTATGTGATGATCTGTACTATGTTGGCACAAAGAGTATAATGCTTATCAAGATTGGAGCTTTTTGTGTGTTGTTGGTTATGTGGTAAGAATACATGTGATGTTGTTAGGTTTGTCATGAGAAGTAAATTGAGGTTTATGTAACCACCTCAAGTTCACTGTTGATTTCTTAAGTTTAAGATTCTCATTTGATTGTCCTGGCACATCGAGTATAAATATAATGCTTATCACGATTGGAGCTTTTTTTGTGTGTTTTGTTGGTTATGTGGTAAGAATATAAGTGA